AGTGGCTGTATGTTTGGCTGAGTGGGAGTTAGCTGCCTGAACTAAACAGTTGCTTGCGCACCTGCCTGGCTGGGTAGCTTGTACGCTTTCTGGCGTCAGTGCTGTATGGCTTTAAGTCAGTGGATGAAGGCATAAGGGCAAGATGTTCTGCATCTCTATATTTTTTTTTCTCTTTTTTTTTTAAAGCCACTATCAGACACAAAAATGGAGGGATTGATCCTACATATTTTCTATAATGCTAGAATCACATTGCCATTCAGAAATGCTCGTTTGTAATAGCTTGCAGAAACACAACAGATAGATAGATGGGAGAGGGGGAACAGGTAAGAGCCTTAGTGTAGTGTTTTGTTGCCTTCAGTCTTCTGTTATCAAGGCAGAACTTGGTTGGGGGCCGGGGCTGGAGGAAAGGCCACTGCTGGACCGTAACGCGAGGTGTGCACCTGCATGCTCAGGCTGGAGGTGTTAATAAGGCTGGAAGAGGAACTAGCTGCACGCTTGATTGCTTGGCTCCGACTTGGGAAACCTTGCACAGGAAGGCTGGCCTTAAGAAACAAACAAGCTGCTTGCTTGAGCCAGACTTGCTCTGGCCTGGCTTGACCATGCACACTTGAGAGGCTGTCAAATCTAGCCACATGCCCAGACTTTACTAATCCTATGTTGTGGTTGACATAAGCAGCTGTTATGAGCCACCAATGGAAACACTCTGTCCTTTAAGAACATTAGCAAGCATAACTTAGGCAGGCCTTTAATGGTAAAAATATATATGCTGCTGCATGTGAGTCTGCAGCAGTCTGGGGTCAGGCCCTTCCACTTAAGCCAGAAGGCCTGTTCATAGGCCTACCACAGCAGTAGAGGAATAAATCCCACTTTAAAGGCTGTGTTAGCTGCTTTCCTCATCGTAGTTAGGTGGCAGTACCAGCTTCTGTTATGTGTCACTCATTTTAAATCCCCATCTCCCCCTCATCGGACAGGAGGGAAGGAGGAAGCTGACTCCTGTATTTGGTTCATAGCTGAGCCCTTTAAGTTACTGTAATTAACTCATTTCTCTACTAGTTAGCTGATCCTGGCCTGTCTCGCCTTCTCCCCCACCCCCAAGCCACCTTCAGGCTTTGGAATGATTTTATTATGTCTGCATTATCAACAGTATAGTTTGTCCCAACCATGCCAGCTTCTTCCTGGAAGGAAGGAAGTCATAATCCTGCCTTAAGCAGGTCCATGGAGCTTATCTTCCACCTATACATTTTTAATGACTTCTACCGTCCAAGCTGAAATAACCACAGTTATACAGCTCTTGCCTATTTATACAATAAGCATTTAAGGTTACACTTTATTTACAAGTTTTGAAAAATGTACAGTTTCTTACATGGGTTACTTGTGCAAAGTTATACTTCTCAACTAACAGACCAATGTGTACACAAGACACAGGAACAGTGGACAACACAATTGTAGGTTTTATCCCACGCTGCTGCTTAAGGTACTGTATCCAAATGTACAAACTTAGCCTTACAAAAAAGTGAGTCTGGACTTACAAATGTTTCTTCAGGGCTGAAAAAATACTTTCATAAAATTGAAGGAAAACTAACTGAAGCATGCAGCTGTAGCTCACACAAACCACAGAGTAATCTACAAAGAGCAGGAACTGCAGAGCCTCAAGTGCCCACCCCAAACTACTTTATTCAAACTTTCCAAGAGGCAAAGTTGGATCCCAACAAACTTATCTTTCTCAGATAAAGATAAGGGGAAGGAGGGAGAAAGACACTAAAGAAACATTATTCCACCTTTGGAACACTGCGGGTTTTACTTCTTCCTTATTTTGGAAGGTTTTTTTACTCAGAGTACCACAGCTCTACCTTGTTTTGTCCAGTAATGCCTCAGTGACAGGACTATAGAAACTTACTGAAGCAGTCTCTATAGGTATGTGCTTTAACACACTATTTAAAATTAAAAGAAAAGAAAAAAGGGTTTTGTTTCTCACCCTAAGCAAAGAGCAAAGTACCCCCAACTGCAGTGATTTATGTATAAATATACATAAATCTTGCACATTAAGTGCAGAAGCAACTGGCATCCCATGGTCTTACTAATGAGTTGAACTGGAATCAATTTGGAAGTTTAAGAATTTTTCATGGGCATGGAGTTGATAAATCAGTACAAATGGGAAACAAGAGGTTATTTCTTTACTCAGTACTTACAAATGCAGTGAGGGGCTAAACCAATAATAGAGGTAAATGACCAGCCTGGACAGATCAGCACTTTAGTAATATCAGTTAAAAAATGTATGTATATAAACATCCCTTTTATCAAGCTACACATAAGCATCACTGTGTATAACACAATTACACTTAAAAGCTTAGTGTACACTACAGAAATGCACAATACTGCCCTAAGACTGGAGAGGGAGCACAGAAAATGAATTCAGCGTCAGTAATTCTTTTGCAAGTAACCCAAGTACAGTACATTTGACTTCAAAGTGGGTGCTTTCTGATGTCCAAGGAAAAGAAGCTTCAGCAAGGGAGGGTGGCAACAGCACAACAGCTATTCTGCTTTCAAAGTAAATGCAGTGATGCTAGGAGGAAGAAGATGACTCAGACACTTCATATATGATTTTCCTCATCACCAGAGTGTTCATTTGCATCATCCTGGGTCAACAATCACGCCAACTCTGTTCTACTATTGCAGAAACCCGTTTTTCATATTCCCGCTTATTCTCTTGGTATAGCTGAGCTGCTTGGCTGTTTGCTGGACTGTTAGGATTTGGCTCATCCAGTAGAGACTGTGCAAAGAGAGGAAGAGATTCTTAGACGCTTACTTAAAGAGTATTTGCAGCATGTTTAAGTCTAACACATTCCTTAAAGTATCCATACTAATAAAAGAGTACACCAGTTCATCTAAATATAGATGATAGATCGTTAAGACTAACGGCATTTTAACTAATGGTTGTATTCTGGTTGTAAGGTATTGGAAGCTTTTTCTATTAGTCTTACTCATAGCAGCCTAGGCAACGTGTTTTAATTGACAGCCAAGCAGCAAGATCCAAGCAGCACAATCATTAGCTGCGTCCCTTTCATGACCACCTACTGCTAGCAAGTCCAGTCAATTTACATCTGGTAGGTATTCATACTTCAGCCAGCATAGCAGCCACGCTTTGATCTTTGTTATCAGGAGCAAAAATCTGCTTTTTTCTGAGCTGTATGTCAAAACATCCTAATCTAATTCTGCCTTTTCATGCAGAGTTATCTCTTTACCTGTATGGATGTTAAGATGGAGGAGACATCGTAAGTAGGACTCCAACGATTCTGAAGAATATCCAGACATATACTACCATCTGCATAGACTAGAAAAGGTTCAAGAAGAATGGCTTAAAACAGAAGTTGCAGAACTACTCAGTTTTTTTTTCTAGTATTACCTGCTCCTGAAAACCTATTTCCTGACAAATACTAGAAAAAGTCAGTGTTTGACAGACTTAAAGCCAACACTGTATGTAGGAACAGATGAGGCTTGTCACTGGCAGCTGCCTGAGGTATATTTAACTTCAACCCCTGCCTATTCTTCAAAGCCAGGCTTTTCTGTGACATTGTAACTAGTGCTATGGAAAGGATGAAAAAATATGAACAGATTTAAGGCAAAAAACTTAAGTTACTAAGGTACCTACATGGAAACCAAACAGAATACTAGCAAAAAGCTGTCTACATATAAGGCTTCCCCATAAAGTATCTACAACAATTAACGTCCAGGCAACTTTCTCATGACAGTTCTAGAAGAACCTGCCCTCTCCCCACCACCTCCTACTCAACTTAACCCACAAGCGCTTACTTGCTACATTTGAAAGTTTCAGGAATTTCTTCATCAACCTGATATCTGTTTGGTGACAAGGAATGCATCTCCAACCTTTAATTACCAAGGGAGGTGAATAATGAAGTGATCTTATTATCACCACCTATAGCTGGAAACCAGAAACCAGTAGTGCATTTCAAAGTATGCCATCCAAAGTTCTTACAGGCACTTTTGTTTGTTTTTGAAGCTGACTGCATTCAGAAGTGCTACAACGATACGCACGTGAAATATTTACGTATAAATGTATAAAGAGAGCAAGGCATCTGCTATTTAAGCAAGTACAAAAATATTCTTTTGTCAGGTTTAACAGACAATTGAGAGACTCTGCTGTTAACACCTATAAGCGAAGAGGCTCCTCTTACTGCCCCTTTCATTTAAGGTCTAAACACTGATCACATATCCATCCTCAAAGAAATTAAATAGACTACACTGGAATTTTAATAGCTTATTAGACAGTGAAGGCTTTTAAAATAATCTTTTTTTCTACAAAGCTATAGAAAGCTATAGTTAAAGAAATGCATTATGCAAGTACTTACCATTTGGATGAAACATTTTAGAGACAAATCTAACAGTAGGTGGCTTATTTGGATATTCTTCTGTGAATTCTATTGTAAGTTTGAAAGTTCCTGGAGTTGAAAGAGAGATAAGTAACCTTTTATTCAGAATAAATTTACACAATGGACAAACAAATAGCGTCCCCCCCTCTGTAAGTACAGACTGGTACAATTACAGTCACGTATACATGCTGGATGTAGAATTCGGATTGCTCGATCACACAGCGATCAACCGTTGTGTTCTAGAAGCGTTTCTCCTGTGACTTCTTTTATTGGTGAAACTACTGCTGTACTCAAAATATTTATGTAAGGAAATAAATCCATCTTTGAAGTTTTCCTCTGGAAAGCTTAATTCCAGCACTTTGTAAAACAAGCAAGTGTGGCACCGGCCATGATTTAGTAAATCCTACAGCTTGGAACATGCTATTTTTATTATTTTTATTTACCTTTTTTTTTTTCCTGCTTAAGTTTTATCAGCTCTAAAGTAATCAGACAATATTGCAGCAGAAGAGCAAAACCTAAATCAGACAACTAAAAAAAAAGAAAAACAGCATTTACTTCCACCCTAACTAGCTTTCCCCTCAGAGAAAGGCTGGTTGAAAGGAGCCAGGGGACTGTAGAGTTAAGTTTCAATCCAAATGTTTTAACAGCCTTCATCAGCTTAAGTTACTTTAGCCCTTCTCCTCAGGCTATGACAATCTGAGAATAAAGAGTCTGTCAAGTAAGCTGTATAAATCCAGGTCCAAGCACTAAGCGCTGCTAGCCATTCAAATCAGTACCTGTAGCACTACACACACGCCACTTCAAAACATGCAAGGTTCTCTTCACTACGCTGTCACCTCAGGGTCACGCATCCGGGAAACACAGTATGAAGTGTCTGGGTATGCCTAGGGATTAACGTAGGACGTACCGTCCTACAAACATCTCTCTGTAAAGGGAAAGTACCTTATAGTAATAGCTGTAAGAAGCTGTCACAGCAAACAGATACTACTTTTTTTTTTCCCTCCCCCTTTCTCTGAGAGGCCTTCTTGCATGAGCAATGACAATTCCCCGCGCTGTCCCATACTCTGTGGGTAAACTAAAATTCAGAGGTTCAAACATGAAGCTCATCCTTGCTCAGTACTGTCAGAAATTAGACTAGTGCTGGAAAAGTTTAAGTTACTCCCTCATTTGGCTGGCAAACGTGCCAACAGTTGGTGGCCGGAAAACAGATTTTCAACCCCTTTCCGTTCTGTCAAATCAGTAAGGATCAACAATATTTTCAGAGACGTTTCCCTTTATAAGGGGATAAACTATAGAGTTGTGGTGCAAGAAGTAAAGGCCATTGCTTGGACATGCCAGTGCACGTAAGAATACAGAGCACAGCTGCCTGAGCTTTCTGTACAGCAGTGGAAAGCCTCAACATCCTAAAAATAAGCTTTGTATGCTAGTTTTTTTTATTACTAGCCTAACAACATAAGAGCAGTATGCCATCTTACTGTAAAGCAAAGGGAACAAGAATAGCGTAGCTTACTGCTCAAGTGAAGTCTGTGCATTAAGATCATTCAAATCGGTGGAAGTCTACAGCGTTGCTTTCAAGTCTTACCCTCGCTAATCCAGAGGTACAGAGGCAGGTCTGAGACTTAGTTCTTTTAGATCAGCTTGAAAGCCAGTACTGGAGAGTTTAGTAACAGCTTCTGCCAACTACAGGCAGTCAGCTTAGGACTACCCTTCCTTCCCTACATGGTGACAATTCACAGGCAATATCAGCACTCTGGAATCAGATGCTTAGAGAACTCATCAACTCTCCCTGCCCTAGCTCTGGTCTCAGTATCCTCCTATAAAGTACTAAAGTAGACGCTGTCTTCTGTGGAGGAGTGACTAGGCAAGTAGCAGGCTGAAAACCGAGTACAAACCATCAAATAGAGGTCAACAAGCGCACGTGAGAAAATGAAAGTTGTTCCAGAACACTGACTGAAGCAGGAGCAGAGGGGACAGATAAGGTGGCCAAAAAGTAGTATCAAGGGCAGTCTGGTCTTAGAATCCATTTAAAGCTACCGAGAGAAAGGGAAGCCATCTGTCCCACTAGGGACAGTGCGTTACTTTCAGCACAGGCCTGAGTGAGCAGCTAGACAGTTTCCAGCTGGAATATCTAGGTTCTCAGACTCCCAAGTCAAGACCCAGACTAGAAACGGTTCTTTTGAAGAGCTCCCACAGTGCCCAACACCTTGTCATCTAGCTTTATTAAAGGACAATTCCAGAACTTCATTGAACGAAACTTCAGGGTCACTCACACCTAAAGCCTACACAAGTGAAACAGGTGTCATGACACACAACACTGGGGATGAACCTTCAGTGTCCATAGGCTATCCCGTCCTTATTTTTATAGCTTTCCATTGGTGAGCCTTTCAACTTATCCTAGTCAGCCAAATTTAAAACAAAAAGCATAGTGTTCACTGTCCTGATTGATAGTTAACACTTGATATTAGGAGAGCATTCTCTTTTCTGTCTTGCACTTATGTTGCAGCTCTGCTTCTTCTATCTTAGGGGTTTGAGACTTTAGTATGGCTAAAAGGGAGGCTTTCCCCATGGCTTGTGGGCTGGCCCGTGTAGCCCCTGACCAGGGCATGCCAGAGCATCCCAACTTGGTCCTTCTAGCTGCAGGGAGCAAGACTGCCCCCCCCCCAATTCCAGTGTCCATAAAGCAGGAACAATTTCTTCCTCTCCAGCCTAAGGAGGGAGAATCCACATTTCTTAAGCAAGGAAGAAACCATACAGAGGGCAAACACATTGCTTTCTCTGTTCACTCCTCCTGCACGATGACAATACTACAACAGCTACGTTTTTTAACTCTCTCGTTAAACCAAGAATCCTACATTAACCACAGTATCACAACTCAGTTTTTCAGAAACAAGTCTGAAGGCCTGGGAGAGCCTGGGTTTCCATCACAGTGAGAATCACCTTCGATGCCACACAATATAGACTCCTAGAAATACAGTAAAGGGGAGCACAAACATCCCCAGAATCCTACTGCAGACACCTACAATTGAATCCTCTCAAGCCAGAAGATGGAAGTTAAAGGCTGTTGATCTAAATTAGTACTTGCTCCCAGGCAGATTCAGCCTGCATACAGAGTTGTGAAAACACCCTGTAAAGTTTGGGGGTGGAGGGAAAGAGAGTTTGTTGGCAGCGTTGAATAAGTAAGCAAGCACAGCAAGTAAAGAAAAGTACATTTGAACTTAAGGTTTTCAATTCAGATAAACCTAAGAAACTTTGGAATTTGAGATTCAAGGGAGGCCTCACCAGAACGAGGATGAAGAACTGTAATTTTCACTGTGCTGGAATTACTATAGCTGCAGTTTAACAAGAAAATTTTCACAGGCTACTTTCACACAAACCCATATATTTGGAGTCTAGCAGTACCACCAGGAAGTGACAGAGTTCAACAACCAAAATACAAAGTGACTTCTGAAGAACTAAGCCCTGTGAAGACTTCACGGGAAGAATTACAGAACGCTAGCATACATTTGGCTCACGAGGGGCTGAACAGCTACAAAACAAGCCCAAACTAACATCTGAATACTGTTAAATAGAAGGTCCTTTTATTTTACCCACATTAAGCTAAACTGCATCTTAACTGTGCTACCATTAGTCCTCTCAGTTAAGGGGGGGAAAAAGCACATAGAAACCACTACATCCATATCTCTAGGCACCACTTAGTGTTTTGTTATCTAGCACAATGTAAGATATGTGCCAGGGGAAAGGAGATAAGTGTATCCTGCAGCTCAAGACATATCTGTTTTCCTGAGCATGCGCCGTGAAAACACACACTTTGCTATGAAAAGAGCAATCCATCAGACACCAAGATTATATTATTATAGCAACCAAAGCAGTAGGACAGCCGTAGCCAACACAAGCATCAGTTTGAACTTCAAACTGCTGAGAGTGCAAGAGGCCCTAAGTATGTGAGATAAAGGCACAATACTACCATAATGGAAAGCCACAGACACAATCAATAAGTCAGGGCACTCGGAAGCAGTCTCCAGTCTTCAGTCAATAAATGGATACATATGGAGAAAGCCCTTATAACATCTGTTTACCTCATGCTGAACTGGAAGTGACTGAACATGGAAACAACCTGCAATTTACCAGGTCCACACTGGAAGGAGAAGGCCTCCAAACAGCAAATCATTCTATTAGTGCCCGTGTACCAAGAACCCAGGCAGCTCTATCAACCCTCACAGAAGTTTAAGGAAGTCCTCCTCTTAAGTTTCCAAGATGAGATTACAGAAGACACTTGTGCCATTTCTGTGATATTTGTTGGAGAACACTCAAGTTCCAAACCACATTAGACTTTCTTCAAGAAACTTCTAGAGCTTCTTGCATAATCATGTATTTAAAAACAAAAACAAGTAAATGGAGTTTTCTCAGGTATGAGATACTGAAAGTATTCAACATCTTCACCGAAGAGATGTGGAATTTACAGGCCTGCCTACAGGTGCTACCTCTGAGGATAAGCAGAGACAAAGGAGCCAGCCAAAAACAACTTAAGAGTTAAAGAGTTTTTCCTATGCTTTTGGCATGAGTCATGAAGATCTAGGATTAATTATAGCCCTGCACTGAAAGTATCTTAAAATAAATAAATAAATAAGCAAGCATCACTGAGTTCAATTAGACAGTATTTCATGTCTAACGAGTTTCTACAAAGATGCTGAAACATTCATACAGCATCAGTAGAGCTATAAAAGAGAGCAAGGCCAGACAGAAACAAGTAGTGCATAGGTATGTTACACAGACCTATTTAGTCAGCTTTGAAGTTGAAAAAGTCATTTTAATCTTTAACTGGAATGATACTGATTGTAGTAGAGTGAGGTAGGTGGCAAGAAAAGAAACTTCTATTCTGAACTTCCTCAAACACCCAGTCCATATCCTTATGTTACCTCGCTCACACTGGGACCTACTTGTAAAGCATTTTCAGCATCAAAAAAGACACAACCCAAGATATGTCATTCGAGATGACAACAGGTCTATACCAGGTTTTTGGCAATGCTCCAACTATAAACACGATCTCTAAAACACGATCCAGAATTCAACAAAAACGTTCTGATATCCCTAGAATGGTACGTTAGATCAGACAGAGGACAGCCTGATTTGGTGATTATGAGCAAGCCTCTACAGGCTAATTTGCACGTTTTCATAAATCAAGGTCAACAGGCTAATTTGCATGTTTTTGTAAATCAAGGCAGCAATCTAGGTCTATTCCACTTTCTTTAGGTGGGGAAGGAAAGAGATGCACTGAAGTCACGGGTGCAGCACGGCGACGGAGCGCTGCCAGGCGGATCCCGGACTCGCCCCCTCCCCACCCC